ACCTTACACCAAAATCAAGTCCAGGCAGCCCAAGGCCTCATGTTTAAAAGGCCAAACTTGAAGTTTTAGAAGGAGACTATCTCTATGACTTTAGTATAGCAAAGCATTTCTAGGAAAGGCCACACAGTGTAAACCAGAGAGGGGAAAGACGGAGGCATTCTGCAATGCAAATATGCGTTCTGCTCATCAGAAAATATGGAGAAAAATGAAAAGGCAACCCACAAACTGAGAGAATATGTTTGTACACACACATATTAGTTTGCTAGGGCCGTTGTAACAAAGTACCACACACTGAGTGACTTAAACAGAAATGTGCTGTCCCACAGTTCTGGAGGCTGGCAGTCCATGACCCACGCTCCCTATGAAGGTTCTTGGAAGGACCTGTTCCACATTTCTCTCTGCTTCTGGTAGTTCCTTGGCTCATGGCAATATAACTCCAGTCTTCACGTGATCTTCTCCCTGTGTGTATCTATGTCCAAGTTTCCTCCTTTTATAAGGACACCAGTCATATTGGATTAGAGGCCCTCCCTACTCCAGTATCACCTCATCTTAACTAATTACACCTATGAAGACCTTATTTTCAAATAAGGTCACATTCTGAGATATTGGGGGTTGGGACTTAAATACACGGATTTAGGTCGGACACAGTTCAACCCATCACAGCACATAACTTGTGAATAATTTAGCTGTATCCATAGTATTTAAAAGCCTTTTTATAAATTCATAAGAGAAAGACAAATACTCAATAGAAAAGAAACGGGCAACATGAAACAAACAGGTTTTCAAAGAAGAGAAAGCATGAATAGCTGATAAGCATGAAAAGATGCTCAACCTTTTAAGCAGTCAGGGAAATACAAGCTAAATCCACTGTAAGACACCCAGTGGATGGGAATAATTAGAAAAAAGGACAGTAACAGACAACAACAATCCGGTGCAAAATGTGTCTGGTAGCCACACCATGTGCCAGTCCAGGAGGGGCCATGAACTCACACCGGAAATCAGAAAGTCAGTGTTTCCACGCAAAACAGGAAATGCGACAAAATCGATCTATGGCTAGGTCTCCAAAGAGGTGCAAACAAATATTTTAACAGCCACACTGATCAAGGACATTTGTCAGAATGTTACTGCCCGGTGCTGCTGCTGTCCTCACCCCCTGCTAGTGGCTGGGAAGTTGGTTAGCCCTTTCGGCCAGTGCTTTGTGAATTCAGACCGAGTGGCCAAAAAGGATGTGGATATTATTTATGTATCTTGATACAGTCTTTGACCCAGTGATCTCACCCCGGGTTTTATTAGAATGATGTAATCTAAAAAATAGAAATGTCAAAGTGCCCAATTTTAGGCCATTCGAAATAACCTAAGTACCTAACAATAGGAAAAAGGTTAAAGTCAATTATAGTGTTTCCGCCTAATGGAATAGTCTGTGTAGATACTAAATGATACTTTACATGTCTGGGTGGTAACATGGGAAAATGTGTGTCTATTTGAGTTTAAAGGGGGCGGGGAGGTCTCAGAATCGGCCCGTGTGGTCAGGGCAGCTGTGCAGATACAGTTTTGATGTATTGACAAGGACTGGAAAAGAACACGAAGGCGGGTGGGCTGGAGAAAAGAAAGCATTTGATGAAATGTGTCAAGTGCTGGGATTGTGGCTGGGTTTTATGCTTTAAAAATGCATTCGTATTTTAATGTTGTTTGTGCAGTAAATGAAGAGACGAACTGTTTCTCCCAGCCCGTGCGAACGGAGGCCCGGGAGCTCAGAGCAGCTGTGCTCGGACCTGGGCATTGGAGAAAGTGCACGTAACTGAATCCCTGTGCTAGGCCAGAGCGAGGTGGCACCTTAGAAGCACTTCAAAGGAAGTGTGGCAGAAGAGCCGGGCTGTTGTTTTCCCCAGAAAGTGCCTTTTGTCCCAGATGGTTTTCTTTGCTTTCCCTTTTATTGATTAGAACTTAGGGTGTTCAAAGGCTGCCGGGGGAGAGACTTTTTGTCTGGGAAGAGAGCGAGCGCTAGTGCAAGCCCGCTGCTGGGAGCTTGCAGGGGGCCTTCTGGATTCATTTGAGTAATTTACAGTCTATTTCGGTTCTCCAAGCAACCAAATTAAGCTCATCAGGATCTTAAAAAAGGAAACGACGCCTGTTTATTTGTGACATTGCCTTGAGAAGGACAAGAGCAGAGTGGCACCCAGTTCCTTCCCCCACCTCGGCTTCCGTTCCGAGGTGGGATAGGGCGGGTGACGGACACCGTGCCGATGACTCCTCCGGGACCATGATGTGGTAGCGGAGCCCCGTGTCGGGGCTGCACAGCTTGTCCTCGTGATCATCTGTGGAAGTTGTTCAAGTGCTATGAGTGTGGTGAGGGACAGATGGGCCCTGTCCTTGCCTTTATAGAGAACAAAAAAATATCCAGTAAGGACAAAGTGCCACAGAAGAAATAAAACCATGTGATGTGGTGGAAAGCGACGGAGGCAGGGAAGGATTTTCCACTGGGTGCTGCTGGAAGTCTGAGATGAGGAGGTGACATTTGAGTTGAGATCCCCAAGCTGAGGGCACAGCGGGTACAAGCCCTGGGGCCGGAACGTATTGTGTTTTCAAGGAATAGAAAGAAGACAGATGTGGCTACTGGGTGAGGTCTGAGATGTTGGCAGGGGCAAATTATTGAGATCCTGGTAGACCCGTGGTTCTCAAACGGGCAATTTTCCTTCAAGGGATATTTGGTAATGTCTAGAGACATTTTGGATGGTCATAGTTAGAGGGTAGTAGTCTTTTGGCATCTAGTGGGTAGAACAGGGATGCTGTTAAACATCCTACAATGCCCAGGATGATCCCCCTAACAGAATGACCCAGCCCAAAATGGCACTAGTGCCAAGGTTGACAAATCCTATTGCAGACTAGGCTGAGGATTTTGGATTTCATTCTAAGAGTGATGGGGAGGGTGTTAACCAGGGAAGTGAGGGAATGGCCTGGTTCAGTTTTCCTTTATAAACCTAGAGTATTGAACCAAATTGTTCCAGGTCTGACAGGATGACCTTATCTGACTAATATGGGTAGAAGAAGGGAGACTTCAAAGAGTTAGAGGTTACCCCTCCCCCAAAAAGCAATCCATTCCCTTTGGGCAGCTGAGCTTACTTCCTGGGAAGAGTTTTGTGTCTGGTGCTTGGGTTTCTATTCGCAGCAAAGGAGCCCTAAGGAGGAGGCGGAAGGATGGAAGTCAAAGCTTGATCTCTGGCTTACAGCTGGTGCCTTGGCCTCTTCGGTCTGGAGAAAAATTCAGTCTTTGATTGCTCTTAGTGCTTGTTCAGGCTACAATCATGTGTAAGCGAAGAGTCTGAATCAGCCCACGGTTCATAGGTTTAGTTAACATTTTCAACTTCAGCACTGTTGACGTTTTGGGCCAGGTCCTTTTGTGTTGGGGTGTTGGGGTGTCCTGCACTTTGTAGGATATTTAGTAGCATTCCTGGCCTTCACCCACTAGATGTCAGTAACAACCCTGTCCCCAGTTGTACCAACCAAAAATGTCTTCAGACATGGCCAAAAGTCCCTGGAGGTGGTAGTGGTGGTGGGGGTTGTAAAAATGCCCAAGGTTGATATAAGTTTAATATGCCAATACATCACCCGGCCGGTGTGGCTCAGTGGTTGAGCATCGACCCATGCACCAAGAGGTCGCCAATTCGATTCCCAGTTAGGGCACATGCCCAGGTTGTGGGCCACATCCCCCATGTGGGGGCCATACAGGAGGTAGCCAATCAGTGTTCTCTCTCATTGATGTTTCTATCTCTTTCTCCCTTCCTCTCGCTCTAAAATCAATCAAGAAAAAATAATAATATGTCAATACTTCATGGTACAAAGATGGCCATAAATTTCATGATCCTTCAGGGAAAGGTTGAGGTTGAGGAGCTACTGGAGTAGATGGTCCTGATTTCTGTTCCCATATCCTAAATTTCTTACCAGCTGGCTGCTGGTCAGCTTTTCAATGTAGCATCTTCAAGGGAAGAGAGACAAAGAAGACACTGGCTTCCTGAACTCTCCAGGGACAGTTTCGCCTTCAGGTTGTTCAGAGCTGCCGTTTTTGATATTGCATAGATGCTGCTGTTCATATGTGTCACACATTCTGGGGCAGAGGAAGTGAGGACCGTTCACTTTCTCCAGGGCTAGTTGAAGATATGACCTTGACACCCCAAGCCCTGAAGATAATGGAGCATCATATCATATGTCGATCAAGATAATAACTGTCAACTATAAATCATAGCAATGGTCTAAGTTACCCACAATGATTACATCAGTATTATTTCTGAAATACCAAATACCCCATTCTTGCAAAAACAAAAATATTTCTGTCTTTTTTATTTGAAGTGGAGGTGGAGGGGTATATCCTGCTTCTAGGGGACCCAGCGCACACACCTGTTCTGCCTAAAGGGGAAGCCATCATTGCCTTTCCCACTCAACAAACAAACATACAAAACCAAGAATGTGAATGAGTGAAGGTAATGTTATTTGTAAGGAGAATCCTCCCTAATTTATATTACAAATCCAAATTATTAACCATAGTGGTCAGAGTATCTGGAATCAGACTCCCTGCGTTCAAATGCCAGTGCTACTACTTTCTAGCTGTCTGGCCTCGGACAAGTGTTTAACCCCTGTGAGCCTCAGTTTCCTCAGTAATACTCATATCTCACAGACTCATTATATAGATTGAACCAGCTTTTATATGTAAAGTGTTTATTAACACAATACTTGAATGACCTGTAGCACTTATTTATTATCTTTATTGATGCTTTTGTTATCACTATGTTGTTGCTGCTGTTATGTGTTCTAAGGGCAAAAAACACTTTCTGAGATAGAAAAAAATAATTGGGGTCAGAGGTAAAAGAAGTCAAAGAAAGAGGTACCCGCTGTCAACTGATCCACCCACAGAAGCCCAATTGTGAACTTCTGGAATCAATTTCCTGCATGGTCGGTGCAAAATAAAAGAAAAAAGGCAACTTCTCAACTATTTTCTTTCTCTGCAGAATGAAGTGGAGCTGGGGGAGCTACTTCTGTCACTGAATTATCTCCCAAGTGCTGGGAGACTAAATGTTGATGTCATTCGAGCCAAGCAACTTCTTCAGACGGATGTGAGCCAAGGTTCAGGTACAGTGTGATGCCCCCCTCCCCCATTTCTTCAACGGGGCATCTGTGTTTGTTTGACACAAAAGACCTGATTTTCTTTTCTGCATCCTGGATACTATTAATAAGATAAGACCCTGTGAAGACAGACAGTATCCAGAACTAGGATTTAGTTCAAGAGGTAAAATAATCAGATATGTCTTAAAATGAAGCAGGTAAATGATGCCATCTCATAATCCCTTTTGAATTGGGGATTTGACTGAGACCAGGTGTGATAACTACCGAAATGTAGATTTCTCTTTGTACACATGCAGCCCAGAGGAAGTGGCGCCTTTCCAGTGGCTATACCTGCAATAGAGACATCATCCGCCAGGTGGCGTTAGTGTGCATTGACCATGCGTCCTAATCAGAGAGAGTTGGTGTATTCACCCTAAGGTTTTTTACCCTCAGCTCATTTCAAGTGTACCATAAATCTTTATAAACCCCAGCTCTGAGAAGACTGTTGTATTCAAAGTGTCTATTTTATAGCAAACCAATTCAAACATGACTTTTAATGAAATGAAACAGATTACATTCCATATATGTAGCTTCTCCAATGACAGCAAGGATATTATCACGAAAGCAGCCATGGTTGCTGGGATCTCTTCAGCTCAGCAGTGGAAATACTGTCTTCTCTAAGTGCAATAGCTAAAGTAAATTACTTTTGCTATAAGGTGACAGCTGAATTTAAAAGACAGTTTGCATTTTCAGATATCACATTACAAAAACAAGTTTCAAAAGGGGCCAGTGGAAGGGATGGTATTAAGGCTGGAGAGTCAGTATGATAAAATGATTAAGGGTTTCAGAATCAAACTGCCTGGAACCAAATTTCATTTCTACTGCTCGCAAATAATGTGGCCTTGGGGAAGTTACTTAACTTCTAAGAGCCTCAATTTCTCCATCTGAAAAACTGACATAATAACAGTATTCATCTCACCGGGTTGTTTAAACAATATTCAGTTAGATAATGTACGTGAATCTCTTTGTAAATTGTAAAGTGATCTAAGAATGATAGTTATAATTCTGCCATCTGTGTTCTGGGTATAGGCTACGGGCTCACTGAGATGATGATGGGTTTTCTAGGACAGAACACTGGGACAGGTTCTGGTCTGGCTCTTTCTCCACTAGTCAGATCTTAAGCAAATCATTTCTCATCTTGAGTCATCAGTTTCTTTATCTGTAAACTGCCCGACACATGGGAGAAGCTCAATAAATACTGGATGGCTGGAGGAAGAGAAGAAGGGAAAAGGAGGAAGGAAAAATAGATAGATTGGTAAATGGGAAAATGGATGAGCGAAAGGAGGGGTGGATAGAAGATGGATGAATTGATGGAAAGATAAATGAAAGGATGGGTAAGTGGTTGGGCTGTCAGATAGAAGGGAAAATGGATGGATGGATGATGGATGGATGGACAGATAGAAGGAAGGAAGAATGAATGGATAGACAAATGAATGGATGGGAAATTGAATGTATGACTGGATGGATTGGGTTTCATGATCTCTAACATTCTTTGATATTGTATCCAATTCTCAGACCCCTTTGTGAAAATCCAGCTGGTACATGGACTCAAGCTTGTGAAAACAAAGAAGACTTCCTTCTTAAGAGGCACAATTGATCCTTTCTATAATGAGTCTTTCAGCTTCAAAGTTCCCCAAGAAGAACTGGAAAACGCCAGCCTAGTGTTTACAGGTAGGTAGACCCTGATGACTCCCCAGGTGAGGTATGTTCAACTTTGAGCAAGGTACTTAACCTCTCTGAGCCTCGGTTTCTTCTATAAGATGTGGGTAATAATAGTATTTGCTTTGTAAATTTGTTGTAAGGATTAAGTGACATACAATTTTGGAATAATAATAAGTGCTCACTATGTAAGCTTTGATGATATTACTTAAGTAGCTTACAGTCCAATAGGGAAACATGAGAAAATTGGGGCCTCAGAGTCATCAGGGAGGGGGATTTTGAGAGGCTTCCCAGAGGACTTAGTATTTAAGTAGAGGCGTCATGTGCCACTCTGGTTGAATTTAATCTGTTGTTTCCCTGGTATATTAGTCATTCAGTGCTGCACAACAAATCACCCTAAAATTGAGTGGCTTAAAACAATGAACACATTATCTCATCGTTCCTATGAGTCAGGAACCCAGGCTGGGTGCTTCTGGCCAATGTCCTCTGACAGGCTGCAGTCAAGGTTTTGGTTAGGGCTGCAGTGTCATCGGAAGGCTCAGCTGGGGGAGGATCTGTTTTGAAGCTCACTCACACACTGGCAGGATTCAATTTCTTAAGGCTGTTAGACTGGGAGCCTGAGTTCCTTCCTGGATGTTGGCCAGTTGACCTCCCTTGGTCCCTCACCACGTGGGCTTCACTGTAGGGCAACTCCCAACCTGGCAGATGATTTCTATCAGAGTGGGCAAGTGAGGGAGCCAGAGAGGCTGAGCAGGATGGAAGCCATAACCTTTTTGTAACCTACTCTCAGAAATGACATTCTGTCCCTTTTATTCATTAGAAGCAACTCACTTGGTCCAGCTGATACTCAAGGGAAGGGGATTGCACAAGGGCGTGAATACTGGGAAGTAGGACTCTTTGGGAGTCATTTGAGAAGCTGCCCACCACAGCATGGTTAGAATTCATAGAGGTAATGGTTATTGTCTTCTATGTCCTATTCATGGCAGGGGCTTCACCTGTATTACTGCTAATATTCATTAGAAACTACTGTGTCAAGTCAGTATCATCCTCATCAATTTATAGAGCTAGGGACTGAGGCCTAAAACCTAAACAACCCACCTGGTGGCTCAAGCTGGTAGAGATAGAGTTCAAGCTCTGGCCTTGTTAGCGCCAAAGATCAAGGCATCTGCATTTCCTCAAGCACGAGGTAGCCCTGGCATCAGGGATCCGACATCATACTCTGAGGGGTCCTGCTCTGGGGTCATTGGAAGCTCTCATCTGTTTCGATCTGGTCTAGAATCCTTGGCTGCAGGCCTCCCAAGAAATCGGGCCATGGCCGAAACCCCCTTGCATGTATGGCTTCCTCTGCACGAGCTAATTGCTTCTCATCACCAAGACTGCAAATGTTTTGTGTTCCGAGACCCCTCCAGGCAGGTTGGTTCTGAGCTTCCCCAGGGCCTGTCACTGGGAGAGTCTACAGCCAACGAGGTTTCGCGTGCCCTAAGCAGATAGAACGATTCTGTCTGATGCAGCCTGTGTGGCTGCTGTCCAAGGACCCTGCTCTTCCCAAGATGTTAGGCCAAGACAGAAGACAGTGATTTCACCTAATCTGTAAATGGTGGAGGGCAGGCAGTGGGAACTATAGTTGAACCTTATTTATTCAATAAATACTTATTAATTTCAATAAGTATTTAGTATTTTTACTTTATTCAATAGGTATTTATTGAAAAAAATATGCATATAAGTGAACCTACACTGTTCAAACTTGTGTCATTCAGGGTCTACTGTATTCAGTCACAGTTGGGTATCCACAGGTGCAAAGAGCTGACTAATTAATTACATGTAGATTTTTGACTGCGTGGGGTCAGCACCTCTAAACCCAGCTTTATTCAAGGGTCAATTCTATGTTGAAATCAAGACTGGATCCAGGCATGGAGTATCGATTCCTAAGTCCCTACTGAGAATAAAGGACTTAATGTCACACCTTTAGATTAGGCGGGTCGTGGGGGTCAGGGTGGAGTGGCGTTGAGAGCCCATATGGAAAGCCCCGACACTGTTACATTTCATGGAAAATGTAGCACGTGATTGTTATAATGGGGGATACAACCCAAAGGTGAGTAAGGTCAAGGAATCAGCAGAGAAGCGTGAAATGCATGGGCTGGGGGGCAGCCCTGGCTCTGGCTTTGTGGCCTTGGACAGGATCTGTAAAATGGGGGTCACCAGACAAGGGCACTTCAAAGGATTGGTACCTGGATTAAATTAGGGCAATCCCTAATCAGTGCTGGGCACTGAGCCTAGCACCGAGCACTCAGTAACGACGACCTCCGATTAAAAGGAAATTGTACTGTCTTCATCATCCCCCCTCCAGTCCCTCTCGCTGGAGTCAGCACCTTTAATGTCCTGGCGTGTGTCACTCTACACACTTCTCTACCTGTTCACACGAACAGCATCTGCATATAGAGGATTCAGCTCCTGTGAAAAGGTATTCATTGATTCCAGAGCTGGGTATTAAGCACCTTCTCTGTGCCGGACACTGTCTCCCAGGACTGGAACGTGGCCGTGAACAGACGGACCATCCCCGCTCTTGTGGGGCTTCCAGACCATTTTGTGGACATCACTTGGAAACTTGCTCCTGTGTTAGTAACCATGAATGTGTTCAGTCCCTCCAGGTGAAGGTAAATACAAAGGGGTCTAACTCTTTACTTGTAATAACTGTGTCATCTACCACCTCGTGGAATACTGTGATAAAGCGGAGCTTCAGAGAAAGGGTTGTCGACGCTGAAGGTCCCTCCTTAGGAGGACAGAAAATTTTGCATATAGTCCAGAGGTTGTTTTGAAACCCTTGCACCCCACATGTGAACCCCATCAGGCAGAAGCCTCCAGCTGGGGCAGCACTGCAGGCGCCCAGCCTCCGTGCCTCTTGACCCAGCGTACTGTGGCGGTCGTCAGCTGCACAGCCTGTGCTCCGTCCGTGGAAGACCTTCTTCTCTTTTTATTTTATTTCAGTCCTCACCCAGGGACATTTCCATTTATCTTCAGATAGAGTGGGAGGGAGGGAGAGAGAGAGAGAGAGAGAAAAAAACATCAATGTAAGAGGGACACATTGACTGGCTGCCCTTGCATGACCTCAACCAGGGGTGGGGACGAACTGCAACAGAGGTATGTGCTCTTGATCAGAATCGAACCCGCAACTCATTGATCCATGGCCTGATGCTCTAACCAGCCAGGACTGCTTCTCTCTTTTTTTTTTTTTTATCCTCACCCAAGGGCATTTTTACATTTATCTTCAGATAGAGCAGGAGGAAGAGAGGGAGAAAGAGAGAGAGAGAGAGAGACAGAGAGAAAGAGAGAGAGAGAAACATCGACGTGAGAGAAACACATTGAATGGCTGCCACCCACACAACCCCAACCGGGGCCGGGGACAAACTGCAACCAAGGTACATGCCCTTAGTGGGAACCGAACCCGGGACTCTCTGGTCTGCGGGCCAGAGCTCTAACCACTGAGCCAAACCAGCCAGGGCTGCTTCTCTCTTTTAAATACTGGCGTTATGGGCCCACAGCTCAGGGTTCCCTCTCCTCCAGTTAAAAGCCCATTGAAAATGTTCTTTGCAGACAAGGAAAGATCGCAGGCCTCCCTGTCCCCTTAAATAAGGATCCTCAACCCTGGCTGCACTTCAGCATCAGCTGGGAACTTTAAAATGCTACCAATGGCCCTGGCCAGTTTGGCTCAGTGGTTAGAGTGTCGGCCTGTGGTCCGGAGAGACCCGGGTTCGGTTCCCGCTAAGAGCACATACTTCAGTTGCAGTTTGTCCCCGGCCCTGGTTGGTTGTGTGGGTGGCAGCCACTCGATGTGTCCCTTCACGTCGATGTTTCTCTCTCTCTCTCCCTTCCTCTCTCTCCCTCCCACTCTATCTGTACAAAAAATGGAAAAATGTCCTCGGGTGAGGATAAAAAATAATAATAAAATAAAAATAAAAATAAAATGCTACCAATGGGCATACCCTACCCCAGAGACTCTGATTCAGTTGGACTGTGCTGGGGTCCTGGGCTCTATGTAGACCTATATCTTTAAAGCACCCCAGATATTTCTGCTGCTCAGTCAGGGTTCAGAACCACAGCCATGAGTGGAAATTCCAGCTGGGGTGGCATTTTTCATAAAGGGCGCTGGCTGGGATGATAAAAGAATGCAGCCTGAGCTGATACATACCTAGACGAAGCTCCTGTTCTCTTGAATCCAAATCTATAAGGTGCTATTGCTTTACGTACCAACTAGGGGAAAGAGCTGTTACCTCCACGCCAAAGAGATGAAACCCAGCCCATTGACTTGTTTCCAAACACTTCATAGCAAAGTAAGGTTGATGTGCAGTGTAAGCGTTTGCCAAGAATCCTGGTAAGCCCTGGCCAGTTTGGCTCAGCGGTTAGAGCATCGGCCTGTGGTCCAGAGAGACCTGGGTTCGGTTCCTGCTAAGAGTGTGTACCTCGGTTGCAATTTGTCCCCAGCCCTGGTTGGTCGTGCAGGTGGCAGCCACTCGATGTGTCCCTTTCACGGCAATGTTTCTCTCTCTCTCTCTCTCTCTCCCTCCCCCCCCCCCCCCCCTCTGTCTGAACAAAAAAAATGGAAAAATGTCCTCTGGTGAGGATTTAAAAAAAAGAATCCTGGTAAAAGCTGGTAATTCACTGGTGGGCTGGGTTTCTGAGCATTTCTTTTCCTGTGTGGGAGAGAGTTCTTCTGTAATCTTCAGTCAGGTTATTTCTGCAGCCAAAGTTTAAAGAAAAGAAGGGGGAAACTGTGTTTTGATTCCTGAGACGACAACACGCCACCCAGGAATGTGTAGTGGGGTTGGCCGCTGAGGTTATTGGGCTGTGGTTAGAATTGGGGGGAGGGGGATTAATAAAAGAAATGCAGCTTGCTGATGGCTGTTAAGTTTTATTAATGAAATTACCATAAATGATTCTGTAGCTCTACTTCTGGGTGTACACCCAAGAGGCTAGAAAGCAGGACTCGGATATCTGCATACCCACATTCATAGCAG